GGCTTTGTGGCGGTTTTACTGACCAACCTCGTTACGTTTGCATCAGTTGGACAAACAGGTTACGGTACCTTGGTAAGACAGAGCCAAATTTGCTGTATTTAGTTAAATAAAGCCTATGGAGGAGCAGCAGCGACACGCGCCCAGCTACAGGCGTTTGCACAGCCCCGCTGCAGCTAGGTGTAGCTCTAAAAAAAAAAAAAAAAAAAAAAAAAAAAAAAAAAAAAAAAAAACACCGACGTTATAAAACCCACCCCCCCCTGCCGAAACAGAAAAATTTTGACCGCAGCCCCAGCCTGCTGAGTTGCACTGAGCAGCCGCGGGCTGCAACGGTTCAGAGGAGGCAGACAAAGCACGGTGGCCGATGCTGGCGTTTACTGAGGATCAAGGTCAGTTAAATATAGTTAAAACTTCCCCAAATTTTACAGGAACCAGCCCCCCTGCTCATATCCACGTAGCTAATCTAAGATAAGTGACAGCCCTTGCAGGAGACTGTTGTGAAAAAACCGAGCGAGCCCAGGGCTTGCTCAGGGGAGCCAAATTTAATCTCTGCCTTTATTTGCAAAATAAGGAGAGGAGAGATTATCCCAGCGCATGCCTGCATCAGCGGCATCTTCCGAGCGAAGAAAGTATCGATCCCGAACCGCAGGCTGTCATCTCCAGCCACAGCAGCCGCGCGCACGCTTTGTGCAGCCAGCGCTCCCGTCAGGGCACAGGCATGCAAAAAAAAAAACCCCCAAAAATCAGGGGTGGCTGGTTAAATAGGGGAACGGGGACGAGAACCTTGAGGCAGAACACACCTACAAGTCTGAAACCCCTCTTTTTTCAGCGAGGAGAAACCACACTTACTTAGCAGCAAAGCCTCCTCCCCACTGAAGATGGTTTTCTCTCCTCAACAGATGCAATCGGTTCGTATCCGACACGGGGAACACCCAGCTCAGGCATCGGCGCTTAAATATTAATGTTGCTATGATATGCCCTATCATATTTCTAAACCAGGCTGCAGTGCGCAAGTGAACCCAAGTCGCAATAAAGCTGAATTTTTGAACACGCGGTGGAGAAATTGCGCAAAGCAAGGGAAGCCAGCCCCACACCACCCGTTCGTCCCAGTTCCGCGTCGAGCCGCAAATTCAGGATCCTGACCCGGGGCAGTTTTAGTGCTGCGGAACATTTGGGATGAAGATGATCGTAGCAAAAGTTTTCTGCCACACGCCTTACACAGCGCAGATCAGATCAAATTCCTCGTCTTTGTAATCGTACTCGGGAGGTTATGGGTCCTGCGTGTTTCCGGGGGGCACGCGGAGGGGAGCTATCCTGCACGGACACGACCCCTGCATTCAGCACAGCTACACCACAGTTGTGGAATATCCCTATTACAAGTGTAAATTAAAACGTATAAAATAATATGGAGATTATAAAAATTGCGTTAAAACTGATAACAGCTTCACTGATTTACTGACAATGAAAATATATAGCATTTTCTCTGTCAGAACATTTATCAACACGTGGCAAGCCTGGACTAACTTGACATGTAAAATGATCAAAATGGATTATGAAATCTCTTCCGTTCATTTCTATTGATTTTGGTTACGATGAAATTCATCAGTGTGCAAAGGAACGCTTGCGACTGGCATTTCCCCCCCAACCCAGGCCAATTGGCCGGCTGTGATTTTAGTATGAGATGGAGCGCAGAACACCTTACCCTGCGTGTCAGCGGCGACCGCGCACAGCTCCTACGGCCCGAGAATGCTAAGTGCTGCATTAACTCCTAATTTTCACTTTTAAACTGTGAAGTGCTAAATTCTGAGCTCAGATGGGAAAGCATGGACAAAATTACGTTATGTGTACGAAGCAGCACCCATCTGAACATTTTTCCTTTAAAAAGAAACTTTTTCAAGGCTAATCAAAGTTATTTTTGTAACTGCCGTAACAAACTGCCAGCGAAGGGACCATTTTTAATCAGTTTTATTGATTCATGCTTTCGGTTCCTACTCAGTTAAAAACAAGGCACATTAAATACATCCTCTTATTGCTCTATAAATGCATGCGGCTCATTCTGTATATCAAAAGTAATAAATAACGGCAGTAAAACACCAAGACAGTTATAAAAATGACAACTCGGCCTCAAACACAGTATTTAACAGTTCAGTCTGGAACGGTAACTTAACGAAATATCGAAGTGCCACACGTAAAACATGCAGTGCGTCCGTACGTGTGTGTATGTGCACCCCTATCATACACACGCGTACAAACGCACTGCATGGGTGTGCATGCCCTCCCCCCAGGCATGCAGTGTTTGAAACACCAAATAAACCGCCCCCTCCAGAAATCCAACTCCCACTTCAAAAAAAAAAAAAAAAAGAAAGAAAGAAAGAAAAAACAAGAATCACATGACTGGTTTTCCACCTAGGATCAGAACAATGCAAGACAGGGACATCTTACAACTCTTTCTACAGTACATTCACATGGAAAAAACAACAAAAAAACCCCCAAAACCCAACAAAGCCAACATTCCTGAAAACAAGTGTGAGGTGATAAATAAATACTTCTAATTTTTTCCCCATGTACAGATTCAGCTGGTTTAAGCAGCACATGCAATCTTCTCTCGTTACACAAGGCAGCCACGCAAGATCTTGCTGTGCCGAACAGGAGGGCAGGGAAGCATGACAGTAAAGTGCCTAAGATGCAAAGCAAATTCCTATCGGAGGGCGCACGCAGAGCCAAGAAAATCCCGAAGTCACATTCTGTATGCAATATTACCAAAACAAGAGAACAAAGAGTATACTTTGGGTACAAAGCAGAAAATCCTGGCTTCACAGGTAAACTTGTTAATTCTTAACAGTGCCATTTAGAGAGGAGTGGAGGAGAATTTTTCTTTACATCATAAAAAAAGATGTTAAATATTGTAAATATTTTTCTTTAAATATTGTAAATATTTTTCTTTATGTGGCCTGGAAAAGGTCTCATTACTTCTACTTTTTTTTCCCTTAAATTATTGTTAATAGGAGAATCCTAAACCACTTCCCTCCTTACCTTGCTCACTGAACCAAAATAACCTGTGCGTTGTACATTCATTTCCCTCCGACGCTGCAGTATATGCAAAATCTGTTACTGAGTTCTTATTTGAAAAGGATTTTGGAAATTCGAAGCCGCGTCAAACATTACATACTTCACCTGAATATACTAGAACATATTCCCAAAAGAAAAGTTTACAGGACCACAGAAACAAACCCCTTTGTTCATAAAAAAATTTTTACGTTGTCAAACGTGCTAACTCCTCATTCACACAGGCTGTGCCTCGCTAGCGCAGGACTTGACGCAAAAAAGCCATAACCCCTTAATAATATCTGCACTTTGGTACAAGGCAGCGTCAAAAAAAATTTAACATGCAGAAACTGTCTGAAAGGCATTTTACCCGAGACTGTCTCCTTCCCTCCAGATTTTACCAATTGTTTGGACTGACAGAAATATAACCGTTTACTGAATTTTAAATGAGGCTTGCCCTTTTTTTGTAGCTACTATTTTTAAACACATGAATTTTTCTGTTTTTTTTTTTTTTTTAAAAGGACTCTGCCTCTCCAGCCAAACGCAACATCCGTACTTACTATGCTACATACTAACACTCCTCAGCATCTCCCTTTTGTGTATGTAATCATTTTCCTTTTTTAAATATCAAAGTATTCTTTGCTGCTCATTCCTGTACTGTTATTTTGCATTAGTGAAAGTGGTCACATCAGTTAAAAAATACCAGATTTTACACAAGTAGCAATTCTGGCACCTTGGAAGTGAGGCTTGTTTTGAGTTGTAAATTGGCATTTATACTCAAAGAATATAACAGAATGACAAATTCATCAATAAACCATTCTTTATGGTTTCCCTTCCTTGTTCTACAGTAGGCAGAAATCTTCCATCTGATCTTGAACCCGGTCAATCTAACAACAGAAAGGTAGATACCCAGATACAACAGTGTTGAGAACAGCTCAAGTGAGTGGTCCTAATTTTTTTTTTTTTTTCCCCCATTAATCTGCTGAAAAATAGCCCTTTCACTTTTCTAGAAAAGTTAGTGGAATGCAAAACAAATTTCATTGTTTCACTTTGTGTTTGAGCATTTTTAAATAAACAATTAAGACTGTTATGCTATCAAAACCTGCCATATTCTACGTATCATCAGTGTTTGTCCAAAACTGGGAACAGTATGAAGCACTTTACAGCATAAAACACCACCTGCCAGACAGTGCTATTTATTAAAGGAAGCTTATTTTTATTAATATGGGAGAAAGGAAAGCTGTCCCCTAGCTTTTAACTAAATTATTAGCTTGGGTGATTAATCAAGATGTCTTGTAGTTTTCCAGCTTCATAGCGCTGATATTTTTGTCTGGCCACGTACTGGTACCACTGAAATACAGAGCACTCGAAGGAGCAAACCCAACCACCTACGGAAGGCTCGTGGCAGTTCTTCACCGTAATCACTACCGCAGGAAGCGTCAGGTTTGTTCCTTTTGTGCTAATATCTCCCTCCAGAACATCAGCCTTCCCCCTCTCGCTCTTTCTTGAAGAGGACAGATCAGCAGCTTTTAAATACTAAGCACGTATTCGCCAAACTCAACGCGATGCATTTCAAGGCAGGGCTCACCTTCTGAGCATCGTTTTCTTTAAAGGTAGGGGTGATATAAAAGTTGATGAACAAGGCAGCATGTGCACGTGTGCTCGCGTGTGCACCCACGTCTTTCCACACTGTATTCCCGAACTCTTGTTAATAAACTCCTACGTCTAAAGAATACCCAATCCAAAAGGCCACATACTGGAGTATCAAGAGCTGTACAGAAAACTGTTAATAATGAAAACCAACGCACCGATGTATTTCTGTAAGAGCTACACTGATAGAGAGATCCGGTCATCTTGAACGAGCAAGGACAATCAGAAGTGCTGGAATGTTCTTCAGCAGAGAGGCGCAGCTACGTGTCTCGGCTAGCTGCGGCTGCGAGCGGACGTTGTGTTTGAACTCACAGCCCACCACCGCTCCGGTCCACCGGAATCACCGCCCTCTGACGCAGATTCTCCTCGGCAGTCTTCATGAGCACAGCCAGCCGGCTTCCGGAGACGTGGCCCTTCTGAATAGCACTCATGAGCTGAAGACACAAGAGGGAGAGCATCCCGTTAAGTCATTTGCAAGACAAAGGACGCAGGTAGACGGTGCAGCCCCCCATGGAAAGCAGCCAGAGGGCCATCAGGGTGCTACAACCCAGTCCCTGAGCAGGCACCGCGCGAGCCCTCCACCGACACGGCTCACGTGGTGCAGGACTCCAGCTTGGTGCTAACAACTCCTCTGCACGAGAGGCGTACGGACACGGCTGGCTGTCCTGCCCCGGGCCACCGACGGCGGGCACCGACAGTTCTGGTCTAAACAGTTCTGGTCTAAAGAAGGGCAACAAGGCTGGTGAAGGGTCTGGAGCACAGGGCTGGTGGGGAGCGGCTGAGGGAGCTGGGGGTGTTCAGCCTGGAGAAGAGGAGGCTGAGGGGAGACCTGATCGCTCTCTACAACTACCTGAAAGGAGGTTGTAGTGAGGTGGGTGTTGGGCTCTTCTCCCAAGTAGTTAGCGATATGATGAGAGGAAATGGGCTCAAGCTGCGCCAGGGGAGGTTTAGGTTGGATATTAGGAAAAATTTCTTCACGGAAAGGGTGGTCAAACATTGGAACAGGCTGCCCAGAGAGGTGGGGGAGTCCCCATCCCTGGAGGGGTTCAAAAAACGGGCAGAGGTGGCACTTGGGGACATGGTTCAGTCTGGTCTACCCTTGATTGGTTTAGAGTGGACTTGGTAGTGTAGGTGAATGGTTGGACTGGGTGATCTTAAAGGGCTTTTCCAACCTCAACGATTCTATGAACTATGAAACAATGGCGGAGTTTGTCCAAGAGCCATTAGCAAGCGTTAATGAGTGTACAGAACCGATTTTTCCCATCTATAAAGCAAACCTGCTGTATGGGTTCAAAGACTCGCCTCAAAGCTCTTTACATTTTCCAGGAATCTCAGTGAACGCTTTGGCCAGGCATGGGTGGCAGGAAGAGCAGAAGCACCAAACACGGCCCACTTGGAAATAACAGTGCAGGCAACCATCAACACCAGGGTTTTCCAGCGACATTTAAGAACGCAGGATAACCCATCTATTTCACAGGCTTTTTTTGTTTTTTTTAAAAAAAATTCTGGAAGACATAACTAATATAAGAACACCATTCCTGATCTACCACTGACCCCGGCCCATACCCTTTTTCAGTCACATGCCCTTCTCTGTGGAGACAGTGTACTTGACTTCCACAATTCTTTCAAATCCAAATTCCTTTATAGACTTTTAAAACTAATTTGCCTTTAAGTCCTTGAAACTGGACTCAGCTCTATCTTAACGAACACACACTAGTGCCAAGATTTTAGTTAATTCTTTTTTATCCCATGGATAAAGCGAGCATTAGACTTGAAATTACATGCAGTCAGCTTGTCAAAGACTGCTGTGGAAAGCAATCGGCACTTACAAAATGCAATTTCTTACTCCCATTGAGTGCTAAGAATCCTTCAGATTTCTTCCCATCTATAGGAAAATCTATTCATTATATCTGCAGCTGGACCTACGCAAATGCGGTATCAACCCTGCCAAGGCAGGAACGAGCGCCTGGGAGGGGAAAGGGTCAGAAGGGAACCCCGTGCTTTACGGACGCGGCTGAGGCTGCATTTTGAAGGCATTTTGATTGCCCTGTGCAGCCCGGAGGCAAGGCAGATGGCGGAGTCGGGGAGGACCGGCAGCAGTAAGAGCAGTAGCTACAGCCAGCAAGGGAAGTCCAGCGTCGCTTGGGCTTGGCGCGCTCCCTCGCCTCCCTCCCCACGTCCAGAGCGGTCCCCACGCGGACAGGGAGGCCCGAAGAGGAGAGGCACTGCCCTCGCGCCCCTTCGCCCTGCCCGACCATACACTCGACCGCCAGCCTGCTGCCTGTCTGGTCTGACCACACCGCACGCTCTTTGGGGAAGCGACCGCAGAAACGATGGCTGAGCCTCTGCCACCGCCATAAAAACAGGAGTTCCTGGTACATGGGTCCCAAAGGAAATCTGCCGTTGGGGGAGAAAAGCTTCCTCCTGATTTAACACGGGTTTTGTGGGGTTTTTTGCCTTTATATACCCAAACTAGTTCCCAAGGTCCCCCTCCTTTCTTGAGCATAAGCGACAGCAGCGCTCGGCTTCTGCACGCAAGTCTTCAGAAAAAGTCACTGCCGTGAGACAGCTCCGTGTGCACCTAAACACCGCCGGAGCTCTGCCTCCCTGCCACGGTGCAACGTCCTGTTTGCATTAAACGCCGATCAGTGCGCTCCGCCTTCTCCTTGCGGAACACCTGTAAGCATCGGTGCCTGCCGGGGCCAGCGCTCAAGACCTTTATTTGAGGTGCGCTGGCAATCTGCAGCTGGCCGAATGAACGCACTTGGCATGGCTCCGCTCCCCACCTGGAGAGCTACGCAGCCACCCTCGTACAACGTGTTCTATATTCTAATATAAACGTCCACAAATATTTGCACATGGCTTTCCAGAAGCATTCTGCGGTAAAACGCAATTACTTGAAAGTTTTCAGAAAGCAAACACAAAAGTATTGGGAACTGACTTAACAGATCCATTTAAAAAAAAAAAAAAAATTAAACAAACATTTAATGTATTTTGTTCCTTCCATGGCAACCTCCTGTTAATTTTATTACCACACTTCCTACTTCGCACTTGGCTACTCAGCAGCTCCCCGCGCGCCGCTCTGCCTCTGCGGGAAGAGGCACAAGCCGTCGCTGCTGCAGTGCCAGCCACTGGTGCCGAATGCTTAGATTGCACTGCGAAATGTATAGCAGAAGCCAGCAGCCACAGAGTTACAGAGTTTTACAAAAGTAAATGCAAAACTATACCAAAACAGTGATGTGCCTTTTATATTTTACAGATATTACGACTTAGGGTGTGCAACCGCTAATGAGGCTGTTCAGCGCAGTAAGGCAAAACCCCAGAAAGACACCAAAAAATCCACAGACGACATAATTACTAGTTATTTCAACTTCTTAACCACAATGCATCCAAACTAACCAAATCATAGTTTAACACAGCCCTTACAGTAAATGGTGGGTTCCCCCCAACGAATTAAAAGTTTTCAGATGCAGAGGGATGCAAGAGGGAGACCCTTTTCGATAGCCAGAAAACCAGCTGTGATCTTCTCTTATATTCAAATACATAAGCATAAACTCCCAAAGCCACCATTTCTTCTCCTCCCCCCAACCCACCAGAGCTTGGTTTGGGTTTTTTCCCCCTTCCCCCAAGTACATTTCAGTTACCCAGCTAACTTGCTGCATTTTAGGCAAATAAATAGTCCTTTTTTCTAATGCTGGACACAACCTGTGAAAATTTTCTGCATTTAGATTCAACAATGCTGCTCTTATCTACAGCTCATCTCGAGAGAGACAATTACCATTTCCTTTGCCTTGATCTTGTTTGTTTAACTTGACACAGTGAAGAAAGGGCTGACATTGACCAAAATCTCCAGCATTAATTTATCTCATGTTCGGCATTCATCATTGCCACCATGCAGGAAAGGCATGGCAGTCACTTGAAATACCACACCAAGAAAGACTCTACAAAAACAAAGCTGGCTGGCAAACTGCACACGCAAGAGGAGCTGGGCAAACGTACGCTTCAGTAGCACCCTTAATTTTATTTTAAAGCCCTGCGAAAAGCAGATGTATGGGTTGTCAATGTAATGCCTTTCATACAAACCGAGAGAATGCCAGCCAATCCAGGAGTTAAAATGGGATTATATGGACTGGATGTGCTTTAACCACAAGCTCATTCTTTAAAAATATTCAAAATAGTTTAGAAACCACTAATCACTTAACAGACCCATATAAATGTCAGCGTGCACAACCGTGCCATATACCTTCCAATGGACAAGGGTATCATTTTGAACATATTTAAACAGCATTTCTGTACTTAAAAAGCCAAATTCAGGTCTGTACTGTGGTATACTAAGTTGGACCTGTTCTTTAGGTCTCACTGTTTCTGCACATAAAAAAAAAATCCTTGAATTTCAGAGTTGCTTGAGGATGGGCTCTGTGTGTCACTTGCGATCTGGTAAATAGCATCAACACTACAGTGTTTACCCAAGTAAGACTCACCCAGTCTCCAACTCAGCCCTTCAGCAAAGAGGAAAAAAAATTAAATACCTATGCCTTTGTTCATTAAAGTACAGCTTCTCTTGTAACAAAGGAACACCTACCTGCAAAAACTCATTGAGCTCAACCTGTCCGTTTTTGTTCAGATCCACTTCATTTAGAATATCGTGAAGTGTATTTTCAGCAATTTGCACACTGATGCTCTAGGCAAAAAAAAAGCACAGAAGTATGTCAGCTGGATTGTTCAGCACTATTTATGCCACACTCTGAAATTCAGATAAGAGGCTTAAAAAGGAAACTAAAAGAACACAAGAAAACATTACCTCCAAGACACGCTGCACATCCAGTATAGTAATAAACCCTTTCTTGTCCTTGTCAAACATGTGGAATCGCTTCTTGTACCTGCAAGATAAGGATTATCAGTGCGAAAAACTGCACTCAGAAGAATGACAGGTATTAATTCCTAGCAGCACAGGGAACTCTCTTACTTTACTTACCTTTCAATATCTGAAGGCATTAGACTGATTTCAGACCTGTCTGTTAATTGATCTGATTTTACTTTGTAGCCCATTTCATAATAGAGAAATTTTTTAGCAGCATCAAGTTCTTCCTACAACAAAAAGAGAAAAACCGTATCTGAGGAATAGCAAGTTCTTACACAATTATTTTTAATGTAGTATTTATTATCTTCTTCCACTTAACTAGAATTTATCCAAGGCCCCAAAATTAAGCAGATGGTAGCTGAAAAGTATTTAAAAAAATAAGCTTAGGCACTTTTTAGTCTTGAAAAGAGACCTCAAGTCTAGTAAAGTCTTCTAATTACTGTGTAAGTGCTTTCAGGGCCATACCACACCTTCAGTCACACATGGTATATATACTTATTTCATGAAGAATGGCACTTGCAGGTCAGGCCTACAAAATGCCATTGAACTCACAGCGGATATCTGAGTGCAATGTTTCACCTAACTGTGTAAAATCAGGGAAAAAAAAAAAAAACCCCAAACAAAAAAAACCATCAGGAGGCTCAACACCAGGCAGGCTCTTTATGTTTTAAACATAAATGGTTTTCTTGATGGTAGTAACATTAATTTATTACCTGAAAGCCCAGTGCAAGGTCTTCCACAGCCAGCTTCTGAATAAGTGCTAAACACCTGACACACACAAAGTACTGCAGAAGAGAGTTCTTTCTACAGCGACGGGTACGCCAAACGCTGTTCTACGAGCGCTACAAGCATCTGCCACACGGGCACCACCGTGCAACAGCCCGCACCGCAGTCAACAAAGAGCAGTAAGCGTGCCGAGCAACGGCTGCAGCAGCAGTGGAAGATTCCCAGGCACGTACACACAAGCCACTTCATCCAGCAGAGACTTGCTCTTGGAGGCGCATTAGGAGACCAACTAAACTACAGCAGGCTGCTCTTACATCCTTCAGTATAAGCACACAAATTAGCCTTCGAGTCCCAAACCAGCAAAGACTTATTTAACGGTCTTACTACAAGATCTAAATTACAGAATGCTCTTCTGGATAGGCATTGAATTGCCTCGTCTGTCAAGCCGCAATCTAGCACATGCAAGATTGCTGTAAAAATGGCAGCACTTCAAAATGGCCCAAGACTGGTTACAGAAGAGACGCGCACTAACTCAGGGGGGTTTTAGCCTCATTTGAAAGAAAAGGAGACTTTTCCAAAAGAAACCCCAGTGACATTAAGGGAATGCAGAGACTGCCTCGCTGGCATTCAGGAGCTCACACGGGCCACAGACGGCTTTGCAAGCGTTACAGGTGCATGCAGGACTTGTTCGTGTTCCTTCCTGTGGGCTACGGTGAGAATGGGTGCCCAGCTCCCCAGCTACGGGCTGCTAAGGCTGTAGCCTTAAGTAGTAGTCTACAGTCTTAAGGAGTAAGTAAGTAGTAGGCTACAGTCTTAAGCTGTAGCCTAAGGCTGCTAAGGCTGTCCGTGCAACCCTAATGTCACGCTGGTTTCAAATTCTTTGCTTTGCAAGCTTCCCATTTTCTAATCTGTTTTTATGGAAGAACTGATACAGCCTTAACACGGTAAATTATTCTATGAGCAAATCTCACTGGGTAAGGGCGAGACACCTCTAACTTCAGTCAAACACCTCTGACGATGAGGTTGCTCAACATACACGCACACAAGCAACACAGCTCAACTGGGACATGATGGTCTCCCTTTCTTTATGCACTCCTGTGGGGAGGCTTTAGGATCACAGCAGGTCCTCTGGCCAGCAGGATTCAAATGAGCCCCTTCCAGAATGTTAACCAAACTTCTAACAGGCTAAAAGGTTTCATGAACAGTCCAAGGGAAACTTCCCATCCCCTTTGAGGTGGAAGAGCTAGGTGAGCATTCACGGGTTCTGTTTGCTTCAGAGTGAAACAAGTCCCAAACCATGTGTCCCATCGGGGTACAACACTCCTTGCGCTGCCTTTCCTCCTCCACACTCTGGGCAGCGTTACAAGTGCAGCCTCCAGTATTGTGGGCATTTCTCTTTTTATGACAACAGAAAGAAGCGATAATCGGTAACTTACACGATGTGACAGTTCAGGAGGGGCAGGATTCATGTCAGTAAGTGGGTTGCCTACATCTAAGCTAGTTATCCTAGTTATCCAAGGTACTCCCGACAGTTTGTGGAGATCTAAACGGGGCTGTAGGGTGCACTTCAATGCATGTACAGCAGATGCCTTGATTAGGGTAAGTCATCTTACCATTAGGGTAGTCTGGGCCATGGTTCAGTCTGGTCTACCCTTGATTGCCTTAGTGTGGACTTGGTAGTGTAGGTTAATGGTTGGACTGGGTGATCTTAAAGGGCTTTCCCAACCTAAATGATTTGATGATTCTATCTGACCAAGGTCTGTTTGCTGCAGAGCAGGCATGCAAAGACTAGCTTAGACAGAGACAGCCTGTTACCAACACTGCAAGTAAAGCGGGATGAGTCCCACACCGTACGTCTGAGCGCAGACCCGCTGGGGAGAAAGGAAGCTCACAATGACCTTAAACATGAGTTTAGGCCGGAGAATGGTGCAAACTCAGTATCATCACTTTTCGAAAGACACAGCAGACAAAAAGGAGTGACACAGATCACAAGATCCTCCTTTTCCAAGGCAGATCTGTTGAAAAGTGTCAGTAAATGAAATATCTGAATGGGAATAGGATAGTAATGCCAAGTCGGCTTTCATTTTTAAAGCTGGGGAACAACAGGATACAGATCTTCACTTTCCCCTCCCCCCTGGCCAACACCAACTCATTTCACAGCTATTTTGATAAAATCTTTATCATGAAATACATGAAGTGAATCATTCTCTCGGGAAGAAAGTATCACTTGAAGTTTTCTATTCAACTAATTTAGATCGTTAACATGGAAACTACTTAAGGAAAACAAAACAGTTTCAGATGAAAAAAGCCCTTTGTACCTTTTTTTTCTGCTCACTCCAGTTAAGTTCCTTCCCCATTATATCTACGATTCTTGGCAGGGCTTCCTCTGCAGCCTGCACGTTCAGAAAGGCCAAGCGAGTACGTCGGGAAATCATATCCACTGCCGTGCGGGCATACTCTTTAACACCATAGACAACCTAGGACAATACGACAAGTGGAAAAAATGCAGATGAGAAAGCAGAGAGGCATTGTTGGAAACTACGTTCAGCATCACAAACCGCGCTGCTGGGCTGGCTATACAAAATGAGCTTTCTGGAGCTAGTTCCCACCCACCCCAGAGAAGGGTTTGAAAAGCTCCCTTTTCCTTGGAACATTTTATAAAATGCATTCTGGGATCAAACGTGTATATATGAAAAAACAGACGTTATATAATTATACATATTTAATTATATATAAATA